GCTTCCGTAAAAATAACACAGAGAAAGCATCAAAATCACGAATTGACTTAATAATGATCTCAGAGGAACTACAAGGTAACCTTCAGATGGCAGAAATCTTCCCCCGTAGTCCCTACCCGGGGCTAGACCACTCGATGTGCGTAGCCATCTTCTCATTCCGGAAAAAATCGGACCAAGGTAGGGGGTTCTATAAACTCAACACGACCCTCCTAGCTATCGACCGCTTTAAAACCTATCTCAAGGATGTATGGTCCTTCTGGCAACACCAAAAGGACCAGATTGAAGACGACATATTATGGTTTAACAACGACCTCGCCTTTATGGGCCGCAAGTGCAATGAATACTCAAAGTTGCTTGCTACACAACGGGATGCAGAGGAAGTAAATCTGCAACATCAACTGCACACATTACAACAACAGGAGGTGGACATAGAGAACCTAGAACAACAGGTTGAGATAGCCAGGACCATCCAAACTATGGAAACACAACTTTTAAAGTACACGGAACACAGATGGCAAGGAATCAGGATCCGAGGCAAACTTTCCAGACACAATATGGAAGGCGCAATGGACGCACGATTCTTTGCATTGGCGAAAGTCAAAACAGGGAGAATGGTAATAGAGGCACTGGAAGATCCAAAGCGCAACCAAGGACCCCTGTTTACCTCCACGGTCGCCTGCACGAAAATTGCAAGAGACTTCTACCAGGAGCTATTCACGTCAGAATGCGGGCGTCAACCTGAATCACAGCGATGGAAGAGGATAAAACCCCGGGCATAGACGGCCTACCCAAGGAATTCTGGGAAGTCATGTGGTCATACATATCACAAGACCTGATGGACTATTGCAATGTGGTGTGGTCGTCAGGACAAACAGGGGAATTGGTGGGGCAAGGAGTTCTAACACTTCTTTATAAGAAAGGGGAAAGAACAAACGTTCGCAACTACAGACTGATCACCCTCCTCACCGTTGTCTACAAACTTATGGCCAAAGCACTCGCCAATAGATTAACATTGGTAATGGCGGATATCATACATCCTGACCAAACGGGGTTCATACAGGATATTCAGGATAACATCCTCTTGGTTAACGAGATGATCAAACTAACAAGGCAGTCCAAGAGTAACGCAGCGATCATCTTCATAGACTTTGATAAGTGCCTGGAAAAATTCAACTTTGGACCAGGTTTCAGACGCTGGGTTAAAATCTTGCATACCAATGCGACTACCAGGGTAATGGTAAATGGTAACCTGGCCCCGCCCATAAACCTTCAGAGGTCTGTCAGGCAAGGAGACCCGATAGCCCCCTACCTCTTTGTCATCATCATGGAAGCACTAGCCGCCAACCTGAGAACACATAAGGAGATTAAAAGAATTCAGGTGACAGCAATCCCCCAGGAGGCAATCCCGGTTTGTTCACGGTTCGCAGACGACTTGACTATGATGGTAGATGCATCAAGAGAATCAATGGAAGAGGTACAAAACATGATGGACCGTTTCTGCAAATGCTCAAACATGAAGGTTAACTGGGGAAACAAAACCCAAGGATGGTGGATACACCATCAAGGGGTGAGGCCACCAAAACTCCCCAGGCTAAACTGCCTTCCCAAGGAGGCGTCCATCAGGGTGCTGGGTATCTCTATAACGGCAAACGGCAGGCCACCTACTAACACCGAATGGATCACAGGCCCGCCTTTGGCAAAGATGGCCCTTTGGAAGGATAAACACACCTCCTTATTTGGCCGATCTCTGATCATCAACAATGTGGTTCTGGCCACGCTATGGTATAAATCGACCATCTGGGCATTAAATAAGGACCTACGACCCCTGCAACGCCAGATCACCGCCTTCCTGTGGCGGGGGGATCATGATAAACAGAATGTGATTAGCCGAGTGGCGTGGCAATCCATCACCCAACCCAAAACAAAAGGAGGCTTCGGCATCATCGACCCAAATGGCTTAAACGCCCGCTTTTCGACTCGGAGTCCCCGTGGAGAGGCCTGGCCATGGAACAAATTTCCCGCCTGGCCCCCCAGACATCAGATGTTAGTGACCCACTGATGTGGTTGGAAAATAGGGGATGACCCATCCCGGGGGCAGGAGCACAGACACAAGACCTCGGTCCTGAATCACCAAGGCAAGCAGCAATGTTTGATTTGCGAAAGGACCCCTTTTGGCCTCACCTCCTCAAAACATGGCGAAGCCTCCCGCTGCCAGATAAGTCTCCACCAACAAGATGGGAGGAAGTGGCGCGACAACCCTTATTCGACAATAGATGGGTGGTGGACTCAAAGGGCCAGACTCTGCACTGTATGGCCTCCCCCTGGCGCCCTGGCGGGGCTGGGTCAAATAAGGACTAACAAGAATAAAAGACATATGGGACACAACCAAAAAAGACTGGATTGGCCCGGACCAGCTAAGGGAGAGACTACGGTACTGCCACCGGCCCCAAGAAGCATTGGAAGCGATAGTGGAAAAGATTCCTTTAGATTGGTGGAGGATTTTACGCAAAGGCCCCACCCTGCAACAGGCAGATTGGGTTGCATTCCGAGAGATACACGGCACAGTGGGAGCAACTTCCCCGACGGGACAATGGTGGTGAGTCTCTTTCAAATGGAACGAAGGAATGTCATCGAAAGAAGCAACCCGGAAGAACCGATGATATGTCAGAAGGAGGACGTATTTAGAATAAAAGTCCTCCAAGAGGAGGAACAATGGATAGCCTTCCTTCCCTCTACGCCAATCCATTATTTGACCCTGGACCCGGAGGAATGGAAATGGACGACCCAGATGGGGAAGGGCAGGAGTCACACCAAATCACTGTACAGCCTAACAGTTAAATCTACCTATAAGCTCCTGAGGCCAAAGATTAATCTACGAGATCAAGTGGAGGACCGATGGCGGAACCATCTGAACATCAGCAAAGAGGAACTTAGACCAGTTAAATGGTTCAAAATGGCGAGCGTGAAACCAGCCAAATTCGCCTCACTCCAATGGCAGATTGAACACCGCTGCCTACCAACCAATAATTGGCTGATAGGCAGAAAATCCTTGGAACAGAAAGGCCAAGCGTTACCCAGGTGCAAGTTGTGCACCAATGCGTTCCCCTCCAGAAAACGTCCGGAGACAATCGAGCACATATTCGTACAATGCCCCGGTGCACTCTGGTTGTGGAGATGGTGGGACAGAATCTGGGACCAACTGGAGACAACAACCCCGTGGCCATGGGATTGGAAGGCCCTGCTGTGTGAGGCTTGGCCCAGAGATCTGGTTGACCCCCTCGATGAATTTACTAACAACCTATTCAAACTGGGAAGGAGGGCGGTACTTTGGGCACTCTGGCGCAGACGGTGCACATATGAGATGGAAGGAGCAAGGCTAGAGGGCCCCGAAGTCATAGAGAATGTGCAACAACAGGTTCAATTAGAAATAAGAGACAAATGGGAGGAGGTCAGAACACAGATAGGCTCCCTAAATACACACGAAGACATCAAACAAAAAATTCAGGCTTTTTCCTCAAGCTGGCTAGGGGGGACAACCGGGGGGAAACTAGGGAGAGTGGAATGGAAAGGGACACAACAGGAATCTGGGGTGGGCCAAGGGAGGATGGAAATGATAAGAGACTCCCGATTGATATTTCATAACTGGACTAACATTGATACAACTATCCCGTTGAAACCCGCCGAGAATTTTCCCGACTTCTTCCCCCCCCCATTGAATTGCTTAGTGGGAATGCAGTGGTATGGGATGGATGGATGATTTCTTGGAATAGTTATTGCCTGTGTATTCTGCGACAGAAGATAGCTTGAGGGAACGGCTTAGGGGGATTACAGTGGTAGGGGATGGATCATCTAGGACATGGATCACCCAGGACAGTTGGAGGGAGCAGGGGCATTTGAAGAGTAATAGCTCGTAGCTGCCTATCTGGCGCCCTCTGTTGGAGGGTGAACAGATACACTTCACAAAATGTCTGGCTCAGTGACTATTTTTCCAGCGTTCTCAACAACCTGCTCAGTCAATCCCCTGGAACCAGGGTAATCAATGCTGGCAGGTGCCCCTTTATTGCTTTTTGTCCACAATTTGTACATGGGACGCTGGACCCGTTTTCCAGCAGGTGACGCTCCCCACCAATAGATGGAGTCTCTCCCCAGGTGGTAGTGGTGTCTGCTCTTACCAGCACCACTATCACCGGTAGGAGTGTCTTTTTACAAAAAATAAAAATAAAATCCAGTACGTTTCCCAGCTAGAAAATCGGAGTTGCGGCGTGCATGCTGCCAGGACTCTCGGGGTGCCGTTTTGCAGCACATCCCTCCCGGCAAAAACAGGTCACATGCGAGGCCCGTTTTGCCTGGATGGATGTGCAGCGAAACAGTGCCCTGGTACTTCCAGAGCGTCATGGCAGCATGCAATCTGCAACTTTGATTTTATAGCTGGGAAATGTACTGGTGGTTTAAGGTTGGGCTCCATAGCAAAAAAAAACGTTTTCACTTCAACTGTGCCTCGATTTTCAGTTGCAGAGGGGCGCCATTTTCATACTCGTTGTTCCGAGTGGAGCCCTGTGAAAATTTACGAACGATTCTTCATATGTATTATAAGTTAACGAAAACCCCAAACTAAATCTGTGGAGCACAGATCTTTCTGCATGGGCTTCGTGAAGAAAACAATCGTGAACCTGCAGCAGAGCCCGGCCTACTTGGGGAAAAGAAACCTGAAGTACATCAGTGGAGCACAACCCTTAGCCTTCCTGAATGTCTCTACCCACCGTTACCGATAGATTCGGTTGTCCAAGAAGTCGTACCATCTTCACCCGGATAGAGCAAATGGTCATTTTCGCTGTCTCTAGACTAAGAGTTGCCACAGATATGGCTATAATGACAGTGCCTTCTACTCGTGTGAAGATGGTAGTGTCCCTATGCTCTTATCGATAGATCCTCCTCTTCTCTTTCTGAAGAACTTCTTCCTGATACTCATTCGTCTCTTCTTGTGATCCTCAATGATGCAGGTGCAGAGTATTCCTAGAACACCAGGAATTGCCGTGGGGAAGAATTTGGGGTTTCTTGAGGTACATGTTGTTTCTGTTTACCTGCGTGATTTTATTTGATTCATTTTGTTCAACTAAAACGCTCTCTGCTCATTTCGGAAGTCGACTTTGGAATTCTTTGGAACATTCATTGAAATCTTTGAATTGGAATGTCAATTGAAGATGAGTGCCCAAAGATAATCTTTGTGTCAAAGATGCAAACATGAAGTGATAAATGTTCCAATGTTTTTTGGAACGAAGAGGGGCACGAGGGGAAGAAGAGGAAAAGGGAACAGTTCTAGCATATGTGAGAAAGAGGAAGTTTTGTCGTTTGTAGTGGTTTCCTGGGTTTGTGTAGAAGAAGGGGAACAGGCAGTGACTAATGGAATGGATTAGTGACTAATGGAATGGATTAGTGATTAATGGAATGGATTTTACGATTATGGATTCACTGCTCACCTTCATCTCAGTTCATCATAATGTCCACCTTCTCGTCATCCTTCTCTGATGTTTTGTTGTTTGTGGTGGTTTCCTGGGTTTGTGTAGAAGAAGGGGAACAGACAGTGACTAATGGAATGAATTTTCTACGATTATGGATTCACTGCTCACTTTCATCTCAGTTCATCATAATGTCCACCTTCTCATCATCCCTCTCTTCTTCTTCCTTTTGCTCTTCTTTTTCATACCCGTTGCCAGCGCAGAGTTGCCCACTTATATCGTTTGTTCGTTATTCTGGTGATTGACAACAGGCCCTGGCTCAAATTAGGGGAGAGGGAGGTTTGGCAGGCTATTGGAAAGGCAATGTGCCCCAGGTAAGTTCCTCTTGTTCTTTCTTTATTTCCTCTTCCAATCGCCCATGCCCTCCTCCCCTCTCCTACCTCCCTCTGTCATGACCCTTTCTGTCTTCCTTCAAGGGGTTCTTTATCCTGCGTTAGTCCCCGGGCGGCCTGGCTGGGGGAAGGTCGCCTGGGTACCCTCCTCAGCACATAATATTTAAAAAAATAGAAAAAACAAAATTCAAAAAAATCCGATTTTTTTTTTTTTTTTTGTAAAATTGCAATACAAACGACTTTTGGCTGAGGGACACCTTGAAATTCCTTGTTCGTTTTAAGATTAAAAAAAATGAGAAAACACGAGTCCAAAATGCATTGAGCCTCACAGCTCGTCACCTTGAGCACACACACACAAATTGAGAGAACACACAAAATCCACGCTGGAGACCAGGGATGCAAACTCCAGAATAGCACAGCTTAGAAATTCCAACCAATTTTCATATTAAACAGTTTCGGAGTTTCAGTCACCAAACGCTCAACAGCGCAAAGTTCAGCAACCCGTATCCAGCATCCTCGTCCAAGGTAGGTGACTCTCTTCTCTCTCTGTCTCACTCCCTCTCTCTCTGTCTTCTTCATGCATGCGCTCTCTCGCTCTCCCTCTCACTCTCTCTACTTGAAGATCCCTGCACTATTAAAATCGTTAAAGGAACCAGTCTCTCATCCAGGCCGTCTTTGGTCCTACGGGCCCACGGCTTGGATCGTCGGAAACATGCAATAAATCTGAAATCCAGGCTGTTGGGTCCTACCTGATCGATGGCCGTATCGGCGCATGATCTTAAGATCGCATGTCAATCCAGGCCGTTGGCCCGGTACCTTGGGCCCGATGGCCCAGACCATTTGCCTGTTGGAGAGGGCCGCGGTTCCTACCGGTAGGGTTTTGTGTTCGGGCAAACCGGTTCCCGTAGGCTGCTCGTGATGTAACTACCTTTTGGTGGCGCCGAGTCTACTGTTTATGGGTGGGGGTGCAAACCTTTGTCGTGGCAGCATGGGAAAATCCTACGGTGTGGGAAAGACCCAACCCTATGCCACTCTTCTCTCTACTGTAGACTTCTACTTTCCTATCCTATGCTACTACGCTCGACTTCGACCTTACTACTCTACACTACCACGCTCCACTTGCACTTGGCATGTGGATACACGCACACACACGACATACCGGGCAGACTGTCGGGGTTCATTCTCCTGATGACTCGGTGGAAGTCCGACGAAACAGCCTGGCTTAGTCATGCTTTTTAATGGAGTTGCATAAAGCGAACATGTCAACACACACACACTTACACGAACACACCCAGACTGAACGCACACTACACTTTTTTACTTGCTGGAGGTTGGGCTCCGCATCCTGAAGGTTGGACGTTGACAAGTGCATTGCGTGGAGGCTTTCAGACGAGCACGTTATGATGACTGGCGGTGAGTGAGCTCCACTTTGTTCTTGATGTCTGCTGCTTTCGTTTTGTTGTTCGCGCCGAACTACAAGCATGCATGTGTGTGTGTGTGTGTGTGTGTGTGTGTATGTGTACAAGAGAGAGAGAGAGAGAGAGAGAGAGAGAGAGAGAGAGAGAGAGAGAGAGAGAGAGAGAGAGAGGAGGGGAGGGAGAGACTGAGAAAGAGAAACTAGAGAGATAGATAGATAGATAGATAGATAGATAGATAGATAGATAGAGA